ATCCGGATGGAGTTCATGGCAGATGTGGCAACACATTTACTTTGGAATGCTCACTAATCAACGAGGCTTACCATTGTGTTCCTTTTATGTGCTCAGTGTGATCGATACTGAATATTAAATTGTATTTCGTACCATTGTTTGATGTGCCTCTGCTATTCTAGGAAGTGTCGCGTTTTATTTTTGCATAAATTATAAATTACCCGGAGAATGATGTTCAAAGGAGGCGGGCAGAGGACGATACTTCTAGATGGCAGCAAGTTCGGCGAGCAAGACGTTGCATATTGCGTCACGTCCGTGGCATCGCACCAAGACCGCGCTTCGCTGCAGCGTGCACGTCAACCATCAGCACCTTATATTTGGATGCTGTAGCCCAGTACCAGAGATAGAAAGGTCGACTAACATCATTCGCTATCAGGAAGAAAGGTCGACTAACATCATTCGCTATCAGGACCTTTCAGGACGACTGATAGAGAATGATGTTCACCCATAGTCCGCTTATTTCACTGGAATACTGTTTGGCAGAGTTAGGCTACGTCCAAAAAGGCTGCCTCATGGTACAGCTCCGGGATCGGTAAAGTGACAGTACCATTTGAGGAGGTGAAGACCATAGTGGTTGGTCGGAGGATGTAGTGCGTAACTCCCTAGTCGTGGCGGAGTATGCATCGCAAGCTGAGCGACGTGACGACGGGCGCGTCTCCTTCTACTAATCCCCTGATCCTCAACTAACCTCAAATGACATTTTCCCAGACTCTAGGCCGCACTGCCACTGAATTATCAACCGACACGCGCACCCACCAAAGACGGATCTCAACTTGGCTCAAGTGCTGCAAAACCTATATTGAACCCTAACTCAGCTCTTCAGCTGGCTTTTCTGGCAAAGCCGATTTTCATTGTTATTCCCACTAATTGATGTAACAATCATCACGTCTCATCAAATGCATAATAAGTCAGGGCAGAATTAACAACTGCAACACATCTGTTGCCGTGGAACAAGGAAACGCTAGCACTCTAGTCAAAATTTGATGTTATAACCTCTGGCGAGCCCGTTCATAGACTTGCACGCTTGATCTGACACGGCACCTCACGAATTTCCTCCCTACAACGCACCAGTTTACACCGTGCCGTGGCTGCCGTGGCATTTGCCGTGCTTGCCACGCAATCTGTTCCAAAGGCCTTTTTGGCTCCGCCTACGTGTCCAGCTGGCCGGCTGGGTGGACATTCCCAAGGTTTGTTACTCTTCGAGATGTGGGCTTTCGCGCGCGGGACTTCGCACATGGCCTCTGCTAGCTACATGTTGCGCAACTACGGGTGGTGAAAAGAAGTGGGTTTTCCGTGAGCGATTCCTTTCGTTGAAAGAGGATTGAGCCCGCTGCGTTCGAGAAATTGAGGACTATGCGTCGACTCAGGACTATAACAAGTAAGATAGCAAGTAATTCGCAGTGTAAGAAGTTAAAAAAAAACCATGAGCTGAGGTAGTAAGTGGCTCCAAGGCGAAGAGATGAAGGATGGTCGACAGTTGTCCGTATCGCTGGCTTCATGCCATCACGTGGCTATATGCCAGCAGGCGGATGCAAAATGGTCCACGAACAACTTGAACACAACTCGTCGAATTTGTGTTTCTCATGCTCTCCCTCGTCAAGCGTGCTACTCTGTGGTCATTGTGACTCTCGCACATTTCCAGCTTTCACAGTATGATAATGGCCACTCACTTGCTTCCCGGCAGGTCTCCTTCGCTATGAAAAGCTTCCGTTTCTCTCTTCGCTCGTCATAACGGGCTTCTTGCTCGTCCGGAGCTTTGGCCGGCGAAGCCTTACAATTACAGTAGAAGTTCGCATAATACCAACACATTAAGTTTCCCAGCTCACGCGTTGTAATCATACATCATGCGTTGTGGATCTCACATCAAGGGGGAAATGTCGCCCTCGAAGGAAGGAAGGGGCGAAATGTAAAAGCCGCCATTCCCTTCCTTAAGGCGCAAGAGCCATTTTTTTTCATACACCATTTTTACAAGGACCATTTTTTTAATGTACACCATTTTTTTCATTTTACAAAACCATTTTTTTCTGCCTCCCTCCGAACTAAGTCAGCTTGCGCTACTATTGGGTTTCCTGAATCTTTTCGTCGACAATCGACGACATCTCTTCTGAATTTCAGCCTAAAACGTGTAATAAAAAAGCGCTGAGTACGCGGCCGGTGTTCCTAATTAGTTTGGGGGCTGTGTTCGGGCACCTTAAGGCAGAGAACCCAAAACAACCAGCAGTCCCGAGAAATGAAAAAGAGGGCGATTAGTTTTCCGTGAGAGACATCGCTTTTGTAGAAGCGTAAGTTCACACAACCCGGAGCTCATTATGCGTCCTAGGCTTAGAATGAGGTTCTCATTCTTTCTGGTCACGGAGGTTCTTTGCACGTTATAATGCTATATGAAGTATACAGAAGAAACTTTACAAATGGAAACACAACGAATATTTTGAATAAATACAAATGGACAGGAATGTACGAAGAGAATTCAATGCCGGATTGGGTCATGTCAAAGAAGAAAATGGGGTTTTCGTCTTTGAAAGGTATCGAGGAAGAAATCAGTATGTGGCATGTTTGAACCGGCTTGTTCTATCCGAAACCAATGATGCAGCTGATCTATCTGAGTTTCTTCGCAAAACATTTATGCGAGAAAGCGTGATGTCTATATCGATGAGCTAGAGACAAGCTTATATCAACTTCAAGACAGAATTGCACAAATGGAAAGCGAATCCACTGATGAGTTAGACAAGCTGAATAGACATTATGCTGATTATCTGGAGTTAGCTGTAAACCTTATCGAATTGGAGCGTTTTGAACGCAATGAAATCACGGAGCGATTTAAGGAGCATCTAGATGAGATCCAGAAGAGAAAAGTGCCGATGCTAGCGGAACTTCATGATTTCTTCAAAAGACGGCTCACTACCGTTATATCATGTAAGGAACAGAAAATTTTTCAGCTACAAGCGGACAAGGAGACATTGTTGGAGAAGTGCAGCCGTTTGCGCACGGTTGAAAAACTTCTTGAACAAAATAGCGTGGAGCTGGATAAGACCAAGAAGGAATTGAATTTACTGCGTATAGCCAAAGACAACCGTAATCAGAAGCATCAGAAGCAGAAGATAAACGAACTGAAGAAAGTTCGTCTTGAAAATGATAAGCTGAAGAAACAGATGGCTTGAGACTCAGCTGAAGCGTTATGGGGCTATTCACGGTAAACTTTATCAAGAAACCGAGCAAACTCTGCCCGGACCTGTAACAAGGAGTCGTAGCGCGCGTGCAAACCTGAACTGATGCTTGGTGATTGCTTCCGTGGACTCTAAGGTGTTTTCCGAATGATCTCGACGGTTGTCTCACGGGTTTTGCTTCGATTTTTTCCACGCTCATCTGCACTATTACTTAAGTTCCTTTACTTACTAGGATAACT